CCCCCATATCCAGCGGGGCGCAGGGAACTGTAAATCTGGTATTACAGCCTGCTTATGGAAGCCCTGAGATATTACCAGAGGAGATGGGGAGGAAAAGAAGTTCTGTCGTATCTGGGAAAGATCAGCTGTACTAAAATCAATGGTAACACAATACACTTTATCTCTGTACCACTTAGGAAGAGGCTTACATTGCTTTGTATTTGCAAGATTATTGTACAGTTAGCCTTTAATAATAGATACTGTCAGTATAAATAATTTTAGAAATGAAGTGTTTTTAAGTAATGTTGGGCCCATTTGCCCAAGGGAATTTCTTAGTCTTCAGGCAAAGTGATTTTTTTTGAGGCATGGTAATTGAATGATGCCATCTTGGTTGGTGTGTTGTAATTTCTTATCCTTCAGGAATTCTTTAAAACTTGTTGGCAGCTGAAGAAGTATAGTGGTGGAAAGTCTTATTCAGTATGGAAAAATAATAAAATAGATTAGATTATTCCCTCTTTCTGTTAATCATTTTGTACGATACAATCTAAAAAATAACCCAAACAAAAAGCCAAAAAGTACCTCCTAAACAGGGTATTCTCTGGTGAAGTTTTCTCTCGGGGGAAATAAGATAGCTTGAGAAAATGCTACTGCTTAGAAAATATTACCACCCCCACCCCCCCTTAATTGCACAAACCACAAAATCTAGACTAATGGATATTTCTGGTACATCAAGTGATGTTTTCCTTCCCAGGACATATTTGTGAATCCAGACCTAGGAGTGGAGGGAAGGTGGGAGTGATGATTTTAGTGGTGATCTAGGCAGTGAAAATGAAGTGTTGCTTTGAAATTCGTGAAGCTTAGTATTCATGTCATGTTGTGTGACAAAAGCACAGCGTAAAACAATTAGAACCAAACAAGAGAAAGAAGATCGAGCCTTTCATAACTGTCATTAATGCTGACCAACAATGTGTATGCCACACACATCCCTACTCTCCACCCTGCCTTTTCTTAGTGTGGATGTGGCTGTGGTCAAGACAGCTTGTCATTTTATAAATGGGCTTTTTCAAAACTGCCAACTGAATTAGTGAAAGTGATAAATCATTAGAAATGAGAAATAGAGAAGGATCCATTAGACAGTTCTGCCTGCTTTAATTGGTTTTCAATAGCAATTGTTTTGCTAATGTTATAAAAGAGTATATATTGTTGTTTTTAAGGTATTTTTAAATTCCATATTTTTGAATGAATCTTTTGAAGCTTAGTATTTGATTAAACCTGGCTTTTGCAAATCATCAGCAAAGTTCTATTGTTTGTTTCAGTTCATCATGTTGAAAGTGAAAAAAAAAGCACCTTTTCTTCAAAAGAAATATGTCTCTTTTTTTGTTTTTTAAACAGTACTATGCAAAAATACTTTTTAAAACAATCCTAGATGTACTGTTGTCGTTGTCTAGAATCTTTTGTTGGAAATACAGTTTCAGAAGAACATACTATATATATAGTCCAAATTTATTGACTATACAGTTCAAATTCCTCATGTCCTTTTATGCCTTTAACATAGGTGTGCAAGTGTACACATGTGCCCCTAAAGCTGTTTACTCAGCACATCTGCCCTTTACAGAAAAAAGATAAATTTTCTTCATTTCTGTCAGGTAATGATTGTCAATACATGCTGACTTTTAATAAACTTATGCACAATCTAAATTTATACAAAGGGGTGAAATCCATGGTGGAATTCCTGTTGGATTCCCTTAAGTTAATTATTTAATTTTACTCCTTACATAAATTCAAACAAAACTGGAAAAGCTAAATGCTTATTACGTGGTCTGATGAGAAGGGTGTTCCTTAGCAAATCACTGGAAAGATGGATTTATAGAATCACAGAATAGTTTGGGTTGAAGGGACCTTTAAAGGTCATCTAGTCCAACCTCCCCTGCAGTGAGCAGGGTCGTCTTCAACTATCTCAGGTTGATCAGAGCCCCATCCAACCTGACCTTGAAGGTTTCCAGGGGTGGGCCATCTACCACCTATCTGGGCAGTCTGTTCCCAGTGCCTCACCACCCTCGTTGTAAAAAATTTCTTCCTTTATATCTATATTTATTCTGCCCTGCTAAAAATTTTGTCCCTATCTTTATTACAAGCCCCCTTTATATATTGAAAGGGCTTTATAAGGTCTCCCTGGAGCCTTCTCCAGGCTGAACAACCCCAACTCTCTCAGCCTGTCCTCATAGGGGAGTTGCTCCAGCCCCCTGATCGTTTTATGTCGCTCCTCTGGACTAACTTCAGCAGGTCCGTGGCTTTCCTGTGCTGAGGGTGCCAGAGCTGAACACAGCACTCCAGGTTGGGGTCTCACAAGAGCAGAGGGGGAGAATCACCTCCCTCAACCTGCTGGCCACACTTCTCTGGACTGCAAGTGCACATTGTTGGCTCATGTCCAGCTTTTTGTCCACCAGTACCCCCAAATCCTTCTCCTCAAGGCTGTTCTCCATTCCTTCATCCCCTAGCCTGTACTGATACCAGGGGTTGTCCCAACCCAGGTGCAGGACCTTTCTCTTGGTCTTGTTGAACCTCATGAGGTTCATGTGGGCCCTCTTCTTGAGCTTGTCCAGGTCTCTGTACGACATCCCATCCCTCAGACGTGTCAACCACACCACTCAGCTTGGTGTCATTGGCAAACTTCCTGAAGGTGCACTCAGTCCCACTGTCTGTGTCATTGATGAAGATATTAAACAGTACTGGTCCCAGTATGGACCTCTGAGGGACACCATTTGTCACCGATCTTCATCGGGACATTGAGCTGTTGACCACTGCCCTCTGGATGCGACCATCCAACTAATTCCTCATTGAACACTTTGAGGTTTTGCCGCATTGTTGGGCAAGTGAGGCCCTTCATATTTCTCTGAAATGGATGACAGAGAGCTGGTATAGTATTGGTGGTGGGGGAGAACCTCTGTAATTCAAGTACTGAAGAACAAGGTACAGACAAGACAAAATGGTTATGGTGTTATGCTGATAAACCAGTACAGTTTCTGTCCAGCATCTTTCAGAGTCTTTGTGCTGTGATTTACAAGTCTGTTGTTTTCATGAGGTAGGTGACCCTTCAGGTGGCTCTGTGTTGATGCTTGGGTCTCCAGAGTCTACTAGCTGATGCCACAGGAAAATACTTAACCTACTGCCTACCGAGGCAGTGTAACTGGTAGACTGCTGTATCTGAGCAAATGCTGCAGGACCCAGTGTGGTTATAAAGTCATCTCCCTGATCTTGCTGTGCTGAGCTTTGTTAAATTGCTGCAAGAAGCAAATCAGTTCAGAAATGTAGAGCTCAATTGACTTGACCCTATGTGAGAAACCAGCTTTTCTCATAGGTGACTGCTCTTAGGACATGGATGTGTCTGAGAGTTATTTCCCTGTTACGATTAGATGAACAGAGTGGATTAGCCAGTTAAGGTAGAGCAGAGGGACAAGTGAGGCAGGTTTCTTTTTCTTGATATTGTTTCATGATTCTCTTTTTTTTAAAAAAAAACAACCTCACATGAGTCTTAACAGAAGCATCGTTGTGTTTTTTAATCTCCATCCACATAAGTTTACTATGATTTGAATATATTTATATTTTTATATATATATTTATCTGTCTAACATGTACCTAGCTGCTTCAAGTCCTTGTCTTAATTTTCCAAACTTCAGATATCCAGTTCAGAGAGATGCTGTGTTCCAGAGATTGAAATATTGCAGTTTATTTACATAAGTGTAACTTTTTTTCCAAGATTCTAGCAAGTTTATCTTTATGAAGGAAAGCAGAAATCAAGGTGGAATGTGAATACATGTGAATAATCTACTATTGTGTTCTTGAGGAGGTTTTACTTTGAGGTGCTGGGGAGGAAGATGAAGAATACAGTTTCTTTATGCCACTACTCACTTTACGATTTAAATTACATATACTCAAGGACAAACCCATATAGAGATTTCTTTCTCATATGAAGGTTAAATATAGGCTCGAGATGAGAGAGAGAAACCTAAGCTGGTCAGTCGTGCAAAGGAGACCTGTACTCTGTTATCTTGGTTTTTATTTTTTATTCTGCAGTCATTTTTACATGTATTTGTGCTCCTTACCTGGTTTGTTGTGGATAATCTAGGAGTTCTTTATCCTGGCTAAATTGCATGACCATGGGAAAAGATTAAAACTACCAAGAACTTAAAAGCCCAGCACATGTTTTCTCTCTTTTAATACCCTATATTTATTGCCTGTTTTGGGGGATGTAGAGTTGACCGAAACAAGCTAGATTATTCTGATTATTTTCGTTGCTGCTGATTAAAAAGGGAAACTTGAAAATCTTGTTTGGATTTCATTGCTGCTTCTTTTTTTGTTTGTTTGTTCTTGTTAGAATTAATACTTAAGATCAATAAGGGTAGCTGACTGGAGCAGAAACACTTCTGACCTAATTTGGAGAAGTAATAGTGCTGGTAAATGCATCTTTGGTCTGTTGTGTTTTGCCAGCAGAGACAGGACTGCTCAGAGCAGTGCTAGAGAGCAAGATTGCTGATACATGTTAACCTGAACAGGAGTCACATGTGTTTTTCTGTAGTACTTACAGCTGACAGAAATAAATAGGCCAGTTGTTTGAGTGGGTAAGTACTATGTTTTCCTCTTAAGATTGTTGAAGTGTAGTTCCAGTGCATTGTATGGTACAGGAATCTGATGATAAACTTCATTAGAGTATCAGTGAGAGTGAAACAACATTTAATGTAATGTTCTCACCTCTTCCAGTGCAGCTTTGAAATCTAATTAAAGAAAAATGTTGGAACTAACTGTAAGGTGTGTGTTTTACATTTTGTGCATTGTTTCAAAAATTGTTAAGGCAGTACTTTTTTAAAGGGAGCAATCAGCATGGATTGTGTGCTGTTTAATCTTTCTCAGTTTTAAAATGCTTTTTAATTTTTTTTTTGTTGTTCTTGCTTTGTCTACTGCATTTTCAAAATGTATACAAACCAAATGGAGAAACAAAATAATAAAATATAAATATTTTTTTGTAGGTATTTTTGAGCTGACTTCTTTCATCGAATACTAAGATTGGTAAAATCATGGATATGTACGCCAGGGCTCAGGGCAATCGAATGAAACCAAGAATATATGTGAAAAAGGTAATTGTATTTTTTAAAAAATATTATTTCAGAGCTTTTAGATCTTTACTGCAGCAGTCTGATAATGAAAAAACAAGCCAAACAAACCAACGATTCCCCCCCACCCCCTTCCCCCCCCCC